AATTCTTGTTATTTAATTATTTTCTTTTTTCTTTTTTTGTTTGAAACTTTTATTGTTGTTTCTTTCATTATTTTATATTATCTTCCATTCCTTTTTATTTGTTATTTAATTGTATCTCCTTTGACTCTGAACTTTAAGTGAATGCTATTTCGTTATCTGTTATACCATTAATACTATTATTTTCTTAATCAATTTTATTTGTTATTTTCCTTTTTTGAGTTTATTATTCACTTCTTTAGTTATTCTTTCTCTTTCGGTTTCTTTTTGTTGTTATTTGGCTGTGTCTTTTTGCTCATCAACAACATGAATTGATTAGTTCGTGTTAGTCTCATTAAAACTATCACCTCTTTTATAAACGTAAGAGACGTAATGAAATAAAACATATTTGAAATCTATTGTCATAAGAAATAATTTTGTTGTATTCATTATGAACATAGTTGATAAATAATTAAGTTCATCATAATATTTCCTTATTCTTTCATAAAAATAAAGAGAAATAATCAAAAATCTGATGAGATAAGATGATAACAAAAACTTATCATTTTTTAATGAAAAGGAATATAAAATAAATACAACAAATTCAAAGACTAAGAAAGCTGTGATGGAATTAAATTAATTTAATATCCAGCGTCCATGAGATATTTAGCACACTTGTAAGTGGCATCAGAGTTTTGTCCAGCAGAGACTGAAGCATCTGAGAAGTATCCAATGATAACAGCTTGTTTGGTCTTGTAGATTGAGATACCTTCAGCACCTTTCTTACCCATAGCAGATCCTTCATCAGCATCAACTCTGGTGATCATGAATTTCTTGCCACCAATAACGACTCCACTTTGTTGAAGTCCAGCAATATTTGAAGCACAAGCAGTTCCAATAGTAACTGATTCTTGAGCAGATGGAGTGCAGTTAGCTGAAGCAGCCCAAACACCACCTTGAAGTCCAATAATAGCTCCACCCATACCTTTTCCAGCTCCAACAAGGAATGAATCAACATATGATTGCCAAGACATGTTTGTTTTTAGTTAATGAATTTATGAGTGGTTTTTCAGGCTTTTATAGTTCCTCTAAATCTGTTAACTCTTTTGATCTCATTATTTCAACTCTCACAGAACTTTGAATAGAATATTCTTTATATTGTTTCAAATTAATATCAATTAAATGATAGGATATTTTTTCATTTATTTTCAAGTTCTCATGTTTTTATACTACTAACTTATTTTGTATCAACTATTCTTCCTATTGAATTACTATTTTGTTTAATGAAAACAATTTATCCTAAAATTTTTTTTTATTGAATCAGATATATATAACAAAAGTTATTAAA